CACCCACACACACACACAAAGCAAATATAAATAATGCTGGTTTTGCTATGGGCCTGTACAATTAGGTGGGGAGTTTCATAGTTTAAAATGAGGTTCTCCCCTAAGTTCTTTGCTTATTCTTGGCACAACTGCATAGATATTTTAGGAATACCTCAAATAAGCTATTTAAATTATATTCAGGATGTATTACATTTTATAGATTCCTTTAAAAAAAAACAGAACAGTGGTTCCCCGCTGCATTTTATCACAAGTGGCCAACTTGCTATGTGACTGTATCAGGCAAATGTGTCCCTTATCTCCCCAACCCGAGCTCCCATATTGGAGAAAAGGCTTGGGTGTCAGGAAGGGTTTAAGCACCCAAGGGTTAACAGCAGAGGCCAACCTTCTGCAGCCAGATGAAGGAGAAAGGGGAAAGGAATGCAATGTCTCAACAGCCAAATGTTCACCCACAAAAATAAACAACTACAAATAACTGAATATCCCTTGTTCTGACAACCGTCCAGCAGCAGAAGCAGCAGACGCCGCAGCATCCCCACCACCTCCAGCCTGGCTGAGTCAGGCAAACACGACAAGGCCTGTGGGGGTCCCTCCCTGGAGGCGGGCTTCTGCCCGCCTGCTGGGGGCAGATGGGGGTTGGCTTTATTTATTTATTTCACCTTTGGAAAAATCAGTTTGAAATGGGGCCTCAGCTATTTCCAGCCCCAGGCAGCTGGATGGGCAGCCAGCATCTCTCCCACACAGGGTGGGACCATTAAGGAAAATACAGTAGTTCAAGATGACAGGTATTTTGGCTACTAAAACAAAGCCCATACAATTTTTTGGCCACTAAGGCAGCAGAGAGTGTGTGTGTGTGTGTAATCACATCATATATACATACATATGCATATGTGTAATTTAAGTATATATTATCTATAATGTATAACATGAAATAAATTTATACTTAATATACATTTATATAATATGTATAAAGTACATATATTATATACATAATATACAACATATGTAATACAATAACTTGACCATGTGGAAGAATGCAATGTATTCAAAAACAGGGTAAGGAAGCAATCACTGATTTCCTAAAGGAAACACTCATAGGTGCATGAACTTTGCTTTTTATGATGGTTCTCAAACTTCCATTTAATAGAAAGCAATCAACATAGCTTAGCAGCAAAAGCACCCAGGGAGGGTGAATGGATAGAAGATCTGGTTCCATGCCTGCCATCTGCTGGGGACCTTTGGTCAAGTCACCTCACCTTTCTGAACTTGGCTTTCTCAGCTATTAAGTGATGAAGTTGGAGGAATGGGTTAAATCAGTATTTCCCAAAGGGTGCTTCCTTAAAGACGTCCTAGGGTCTTGCTACTCAAAGTATGGTCCACGGACCAAACGGCAGCGTCAGCATCTTCCAGGAACTCTTAGAAATAATAGGATCTCAGACCCTGCACTGGACACACGGAATCCTTTAACTGAATCATCTACATTTTAATAGGAACCCAGCTGATCTGCATGCATGGTAAGAAACAGTGCTCTTGGACAAGATATCCCAAAGCTACCTGATCACAGAATCACCTGGATAACTTCATTCAAACACAACTTTCCTGGTCTGCCCTTAGTCTGACCCAATGGCTCTGGGGTAAAAGCCAGGAATCTGCATAGGTAAGTGACACCCCAGGTGGGTTCATTTCAATGAAAATATGAGTGACATAAATTCATAAGTAACTGTGTCTATATTGTTTCCCTTTAAAATGGAATGGTCTCTAAGACATATCATGCCCATGCGCTTCCTGGTGTTCTTGCAGAGATCGGCCAACATGGTCAGGATAGGACATCCCTCAGAGGACTGCCCTAGATGCCATGAAGGTTTTGCCCACTGCAGTTCTGAAACTGTTAAATTCTTAATGGATCATTGGTTAAATGCAGGAGGCATAAGGCGCTCTGATGTAGAGCTACAATAATTTAATGAATAATATAAAAATGATACTAATTTTGCAAAGTTCCCCCAAGACAATTGTCATCAGATTCATAAGCTACATTCATATATCAAAATCCTTATTTAGCACATTAAGATGTCGTCAGTACTTCAAAAACCAATCTTGAAAAGAAGAAATATGGTGACAATTAGATCCAATTTGGCTTTTCATTTATTGGGAATAAAAACTATCCTCATGTGCAATGTGTTAGTTGCTGGGAAGTGCTTGCAAATAGCAGCCAGAAATCTCTTATTTCAACAAAATGTTAAAGTTATAAAAAAAAAATGTTTTTCCTCGCCTCCTGGAAGCAAATCAAAAGAATTTCAAGCAAGGTCCTACAGGCATTTTTTCCTCTCCACTTTTGATGCCATTAAACGTAGTTAAATTTCAATTTACATTTTAATGTACACTGGTCCCCAAGTCAAATGTAATATTTAATGACAAATCATGTCTTGACTTGCATAAATAATTTTAAATAAATTAAAGAAGCTATCACTTGCTACATAGGCAGAGATTAAAAATATGTTGTGAATATTAGAGATTAAGTTAACTGCATAATATAGGCTTTAATGATATTCTTTACATAAAAATCACATCTCTATCATATTTGTATGTGCACATCATATACAAGAATGACAAAATTTGTTAATCCCTGAAGAGATTTGCAAGATCATTACCACAAAAGTATCAGATGATTATAAAAACATAGGAAGTGATAAAAAATAAATGGAAAACACTTTTCTAACATTCTTTGATTCTATCACACTTGGGAGAGCTGGATACCAAGGGCTGGCCTAGAATGGATTTTTAGAGTCTCTACAGCCATAATCCACAGAAAAATGACTAAGGCACTAAAATTTTAATTCAGTTCAATTAGTTTAAGTATTAACACACTTACTGGCAAATGATACTGATGCTCTGGCAGATCAAATATGTCATAAATAATAACTAATGATGGATAAGACTGTGTTATTGATAACCTCCAGGTTAGGTATGGTTTTAAACCATTCATAGTTATCAGTACCTCTAACTCTCCCAATAATTCTATGAAGTAAGCACCCTTTTATATGACATTAGATATTAAGACACAGAGACATGAAAAAATTGTCTACCATCACAACACTAAGTAGTGGAGCCGGACCTGGAAATCAACAGGACTCCAGGGTATGGGCTCTCAGCCACCAGGGTACACACTTAATGAAACTGGAAACTTCAGGAGCAAAGGCACATGTCAGAGAAGTGAGGGTGACATACTGAACAGCACAGAGCCTACAAGAATGAAGTGCAGTGGATATGAGCAAAGGCTATGGGGAATTAATAAAGGTGGGCTTGAGCCACTCTTCGCCGAACTTCGTAAGCAGGGGTGGGGTGGAGGGACCGCCTGGAGGTTTGTAGCAGGCATGGGACAATCAGGAATTAAGTGAGCAAGTAGGGAGGTGAGAGAGGTTGGGGGTGGACAGATTAATAAAATGCCACTTAAGATAACTCAGAGAGTAGGTCACGTGGGGCTCAGGGAAAGAGAGAAAGAAAAGAAAGGAGAAAATGACACTGAGAAGAAGAAAATGGGGGGAAGCTGTGTTGAAATTCACTCTGCTGTTTTGGCTTCTCCCTTCTTCAAGCTCCAGAGGATAATCCTCTCCACCCTGAGCAGGGTCAAATGTCGGGAGCTAGCCTCGCCAAGGCCACCTGGGAGCACAGAGCTTGACGTGTAAAATCAAACACGTTCATGCTCTCAGCTGACCTGTCAAAGTATTTGTGAACTAAAATTAATTAAGTCATGATAGGAAGTCTATTTCCCGCAGCTCTTACATCAAGAGCACAGCTTACAAGATGACCTTCTTTTTGGCCGACTAGGGTCCAGTCAACATTCAGGAAGGAGCCTCCCAAATCTCCGGTACAGGGAAGGGGATATGGATGTGTTGAGAGGAAGATTTCATTTCCCGAAAACATAAATGTCTCCGCAAATAGCAATTCACTCTTTTTAATATAAAATACTTTTTGGAAGGAAGGTTATTAGGTTTATTTATTTATATTTTATTTTAAAACTTATTTTTTTAATGGAGGTACTGGGGATTGAACCCAGCACCTCGCGCATGCTAAGCACGCACTCTACCACTGAGCTATACCCTCCCCACCTACTCCTATTCTTAATCCATGAACCATCAACATTTGCCAGGAAGAATTCCTTGAATCCTCCAATAAATCCCCCTTGTCCCTTATGCTTCATAGCATTCTCAAACAGCAGCATTTGAATAAAACAACAATAACCGTCTCTGCCCTCCATCTCTCCATCTGTTTCTGGAGGAGTGTCTGCACTCCTCGGCACACAGAGGAGATTTTATGTGGACCCCTCGGGGCGGGTGGGATGAAGACATTTTAAATGAGAGAGGAACTGTGTGTATTTCTAAACCTGTTTGAGATGATAAAAAACACTGATGCTAAAACATGATAAAGAAATCTTAGACTCTCCTGAAAGGCAACCTCCTTTCTTCCCCCACCCCTCCGCCCAAGTCCTACTTAGGTCAAACAAATGCAGTTTTAAAACCCATTTCCATGTTTTAAGATTCAGAGAAAAGAGGTTTAACAGTAGGCTATAAAACTCCCTTAATCTTTAATGTCTTATTTTTGCAGATTTGCTGGAAAAGTACCATAAACAGTCATTGCACAGCTCTCCCCATCACTGCCCCCTGAACTGCGGCACTGCTGATGAACAGCAGACCCACCTGCCTGCTCCCCTCCCCCCCAGGATCCACTTCCCCCCGTATTGTTGATGCACCTGCACTCTGACAATCTCGGCAGAATCTCTTAGCCAGATTGATCTGCTGATTGTACTCCAGAGGAAAGGATCAGCCATTTAAAATACAATTTTAAAAGAGTGAATTGAGTAGGGGTGGAGACAGTTCTGACAGTTTCTTGCCGGCCTCTCATTTCTATTCTGCAGAAGCACCTGGTATGTCCAAAGCCCCCCTCTGGCTCTATTTGAGGCTAGTCTGTGTTCCGACAGGACAAGGTCACTCAGGATATATACTCACAGGCTATGCGCACGGAGGCCTTCCTGCTCTTGGAGGTCCCCAGATGGCTCCAAGCCACACACTGGCACCAGTAGTCCTCGGGCCCGTGGAAGTCCTCCACCTGTTGCCTGGTGACATTGATAAACACCTCCCGGACCTTCAAGCCTGAAGAGGAGACAGAGCAAATCCACTGAGGCTGGTATATTCCTCAAAGAGAAAGTTCAGGCTAGCCCAACCTTTTCCTGGTAATTAAACAATTCTGTTTTTAATCAAGGGGAGGTTTTAATTACTTTGACAATAACGTATTACTGCTAATTAAATTCCAGCAGCTGAGTAGGCTGGAAAAAACGAGGTTGAAGTATCATCCACCAACGTGGCTCTCATAAAAGTAAGCATCATTTTCATGGTACCTTGACATCCTGCTTTTGCTTTGTCCTTCTTAGTGCAAAATCTACTATGAGGAACATAGCCCCAAGTTCACTGCTGGGATTGCAGAGGCTGAAGAGGCCTCAACAAACCAGCTCCAGAGACACAGTTCCAGGTGGTTTTAAATACCCACACCCCTGGTTCTGGCAGTGGGAGAGGGTCACTCTTGCAGTGTGGGTTAGAATAAAGAGGGAGTGGTGAACATGCATGGAATGGGCAGAGAGGATGGGAATCCAAGGAAAAACAAAAACTCTGGACAACAAATGGGATGCAGACAAGTGGAGCTAAGTCAGTCCTGAAGCCATGGGAGGAGAGTCCAGGCAGGTCCCTGGAACAACAGAAGAAGAGGTGTTCACAGAAAGAGGGGCTAAGGGTACACCTTGACCTTGTAATGTTTTATTACTGTCTTTTTTTCCAAACCTCTAGCCAAGGACGGTCAGCATGTCTTTCTTTGGGAAGGACAGTCACCTTACATGAAGTGCCACAGAGGAAAGGACACCCTCCCTCACTAGTATCAGTGAAATCATTACAAGCGGGGGCACAGCCCTCACAGTCGGCGTGCTCTCGCCAGCCAACGAGCACTGGCCAAGGCTGTGCCTTGTCCTGGGATAGGCAGCGTGGGAGAAAAAGACGATGCTTACTGAATTCCACTCAAGCACCTAGCATCACAAGATAAGCCTGAACCTAGACACTCATCACACTTCCGCTGTGCCCTGATGCCGTAGAGGCCACTGGACTCCTCACCTTGCAGGTGAGAGAACTCTGATGCAGAGGCATGGGTCCGCAGTCACACAGCCTGTAAATGGAAGATCCAGGGTTTGAACCTAGATCTGATCTGTCTTACACCCAAACCAGCACTTCCTATGGGTCTCCCTTAAAAATTCCGTTCTGTCCTCATTATTTTAGTTACTGATACTTAACTATGGAAATAAGACTAACGCGTGGATGATTGAAGGAAAAATTAGGAGCATAACTATGCTTTTTCCTTTAAGTTCAAAAGGAATTCAAGAGACAGAACCATCAGTATAGTTTCAAGGAACCAGGGACTGTTGGTTGAGAATGCGGAATGTGATTAGATCCTGGGTGATGGTAGGATTTAAAGAACAATAAGGGAGGGTGGAATTAGACTGGGGAAACATTGCCTTCTACCCAATCAATAACATGCTATTTATAGTGTGTGATGTGTGTTTTATGGCCACATAAATCACAGTGTACACACTTGGAGTTACACTTTCTAAATCTGTGGGCAGTCCCACATCCAGGAAATCATCTTGATGACAGTTGATAATTCACATCTCCCATGACTCTGCACTGTACAGAAATACACCTTTTTTGTCCGTCAGAGACATAACAGTCCTGAAAGCCATCTCCCACATCGAATAGGAAAGAAGCCTGAGAGGGGTTTTTATTGTTATTGCTGCTTTAAAAAAATTTTTTTGCACTTAAAGTAAATGGGAGTAGGAGGATGAGGGCAAGGAGAAGGTGGAATTGACAGGTGAAGCTAAAAAGAGACTATCAGAGAAAAAGAATAAAGATTGAAAAAAGGCTAGGACAGAAAGCAGACTGGAGTGGGGCGCCCACATTGGGAGTTTGAAAGTTAAGACTGAACAAACAGAAATAAGAAACTAGGCCATAGAGATAAGGACTTGTTTTATATTTTATATTTTTGATTTGAGACAAATAATGGATGGTCTACTTTGAACAGAGCAAGGGAGGAGAGAGAACACCACATCAACACATCCAGGTGCGGGTAGAGTATCTTTCATGCGTCCAAGCTCCGCTGTCGTGGGATGGAGAGACCTATTGAGACAAAATACGTCCATCATTTGGGAATCAGGGGTTTCAGTGAAGGAGCACTTGATAAGCTTGAAAGGTCAGAAATGTGTTCAAGCTAATGGGGAACAATTCTAATATTTTATTTTCTCCATCTTATATGACTATCTAAAGCCACCGGTTTTCTCTAGGCTGGAAATGGAAGATAAACACCATCTCAAAAGTGGTTCAAGATTATTATTATTATTATGTTAAGTAGGGAGTTTCCCCATCCAAACTTCAAAATGGACTGTGATTTAATCTAGACACCATGGTGTTTTAGGGGTACCTGGGGCCTGTTTTAATAAGATAGAGGAAGACACTCAGAAATAGAAATGACCATCATGAAGGAATAAGTTTACACTCACAGACTCTTAGGAACAGAAGGTAGAGCCCACTCTAGAACCCTGGAAACACAGGGCCACTCAGGGAACCACCAGGGTCAGGCAGGAAGTAGATGGGGCAGGGGAACACGTGGGCAAGAGCCCATGTTTCTGTGGGAAGCAATAAGAGGTGGGATAAAAAGATCGCGAGTTGACTACTTCGAATCATTTCAGTGGGTTCTGGGACAGAATGGCTGCCCAGAGATGTTTGGTACCTGGTCCTGGGGTGAGGGCAGGGGAACAGTGGCCAAGACTGTAAGAGCTTGATAAAAGGAGTGGCTGAGCTCTTAGAGGAGCTCTGCATCAGTTGGTCTGCACATGAAAGGCGTGCTCACAAGCCGCTGTCTGCAGTCTCTAGATTACTCAGCCTCAGGTAGGGGGTCCCTCCAGGGCCAGTAAGACCCCAAGACGTCCGAGCTTCAAATACAAAAACTCAAAAACATGGATAGATAGCTGCACATTTGTTTTGGAAAGCATAAACAGTAAGCTATGGACCCCCACCACTCAAGGTCCTAACTGATCTCACCTCGTTCTTGTCAAGACATCTTGCAACCCCTCATCCAGACTAACCACAGTTGAAAAGCAAATGTAGAAGTCATTATGTCAACATTAGGATGGCTCAGTTTCACGTTCTTCACAGAGGCTCCTTACGGGATTGGAGAAGCAAAATGAATATAAATCAACTATTTCCAAACACAGTGTATTTTTCCTTCAGGTAGCACCAAGGTGGCAAGCCTCTTTAAAAGGCCACAAGTAGGAGTTGGGGTACAGCTCAGTGGTACAGCACGCGCTTGGCGTGCATGAGGTCCTGGGTTCAATCCCCAGTGCCTCCATTAAAGCAAAAAATATATATACATATATACGAAGAAAAAAGGCCACGCGTGACACCACTATCTCCCCAAAAGTACAGTGCCTCTCTGGATCGGGCCTTTTTACACTATTATGAGGTCTTCAGCCTTGTCAAACCATCCCCTCTAGGAAAACCCTTGAAAATCATAAACATGTTATTCCTATTATAACTTTCTCCACCATAACAAAAAAATAACTATTGATTGAAATCCATCTTTAAATAGTATATTCTCTCTCAAATCTTCACTATGGCTCTGTCTAGTGGGATATATATATATTTACACACATACATACACAAATACACATATATGTGTGTATTTACATATATACATGAGAAACCACACATGAGAAACATTCATGCAAAGCGGCTCAAGGAAGGACACCTCTACCCACCCGCCTGCCCTGAAGTTCACCCAGTAGTGCTGCAGAGAGAGCCTCTCCTCCATCTCCAGAGATGGCAGCTAACTTGTTCACAGGAAATGATACAGGAGAGCAAAAATCCCAGGCAAATGGAAGATGGCATCTCATAAATAAGACGAGCATTGTACCTGATAACTTGTGTAACTCTAATAAGCATGGAAAAGTCCAACCCTTTAAATTATTGCACAAATTACAACCATCAGCCTTTGTTACGGAGGAGAGTCTTACCGAAGATAAAAATATGACTATGGGACTGATATGCTAATAAGCTTTCTACGCTGCTGGATGGTTTAGCTGTAGATAGACTAATGTTGGCAGCGGGTGAATAATTGCTCTGCATGTACTCAACATAACAGAGCAGCACGGAACTTCATCATTTGTCAGTTTTATTTGTTTAAATGAGAAAAATGCTGACAGCAGTTACTGCCGTAACCCCTTTATTTATCAGATAGGAAACACTAGCTACTTCGAGCAGGTCTAATCCTATTGGGAGAATAAAGTTAGAGAATTTTCAAACTAACTGAAGATATATGCTTCTCTATTCAAAGAGGAGACCTATAGAAGACAGGAGCAAACAGAGGAAGGATGAAAATGATTCATTTTTGGTCATCTTTTAGTAAAAGGGCTCTAGTCTTAGTCCTAACTTGTTCTGTAGAAAAGACAGATTCTAGCATAGCACTGAGCTTTCAGCACCATGCCAGCTGCAGCCAGTGCCCACCAACAGCTGTCCCCACCCCCCAGCCTTTCATCTGTTGTCAACATCACATTTGCAGGAAGCCCCTCAGTGGCATCCTGCTGTGGTTCTTCTTCCCAGCTGGTTATCAGATGCACCTGGAATGGGCACATGGGGGGGACCTGACAGTTCTCTGATGCTGACCATCTCTCACAGTCTTATGTTCGATCTTTGGAAGTTCTCTGCAGTAGGATGCTCAGCTCATCAACTAAATAACTAGATTCAAGAAGGGAGGTGAGAACCCCCCTTCCTCCTGTCAGACTCCCAAAGCACATAAAAGCATGAAGAGACAAGCAAACTAGAGTCTGGTGAATCGTGGCCTCATCCTAGTCTCTGTACCTGTCTCCCGAGACCATTTTAACCAAGCATTTTACCTACTGCTTGCCTGGTTTTCCACATCGTATGATTCACGATTGAGAATTAACCAAGAGAATGATTACACAGCTTTCATAGACCAAGCTCCAAAGAACCATTTAACACAACTTTGTGAGTAGAAGTGGGCCTTGCTCAATTTTCTAGGGGAGAGAAAAAATTCAGACTTC